ATATTTACGAGAATATACATACGTTCGTAGAAGTAGGATGTCGCGATGCTTGGTTGACTTAGCATGGTTAAGTCTATATTTGTAAGAAATTATAGTCAGGAGTTTAGTAGATACTCTGCATGCGAGCACCGAAGTAGAACACTGTAAGCTATGGCTCGTTAGAAGGACGTTAAAAGCACTGAGCTGTTTTAATTACTAAGGTAGCATGTGTAGATCTGGTATCTCGTCGTTACTCTAACTCGTCGGTCAGTGATCGTATAGACAGGGATGGTCGAAGAGGTTGTGTATATTATATACGACATAGACGTCTTTATTTGAATACATATGTTGCAACGTACATGAGCGGCCAGAGATCTGACGCTATAAGCTGCGTTGCAAGGAAGGTAAATGCGCCGAGCAGTTATGTTTCATATTAAATAATCCAGAGAGACATGATACAAGATTGCGTGGCACAGCTTTGCTGTTGATCCCGAGCGCTGCGCGCGGATGAGACGCGCAGTTCCGCGGGATATGCTCACGCGACCGCGGGGATGTTCAAGTATGAAGCGCTGTCCGCAATGGAGACGTGCGCCAAATTCGAGAATAGACCCTATGAGCTCTACTTGCACTTGCAACTCACCCCTGTCTTTCGCTATCGAGTTAACATCGGCAACATATAACATATCCCTGCCGTTCTATCCGAGGATGTGACCCATCTCTCTAGAATGCTGGCTAATTTAATCTTTCGTGTGGAATACTCTCTGAATTACATTTTGTATATAAAGCTTGTATATGAACGCACGATGTACAGTAACAGAATGCATGCGGCGGTGCGTCGTAATGGGAATAAGTCGTTATAGTTGTGATAAATAATATTATAATATAGAAGTTGGGTTAATATATGTTGGGTTAAATCACTTTAAAATATAGAGGTAGACTATATATTATCTTATCTTATATGGTAGAAATATATAGCTTGTGCGTACTTTATGTCAGCAAGCATGGGAACATCAACGCCAAAATCAAAATTCTAATAAATCGTCCTTTAATAAATCCCTCTTTCTCTCATCCACGCTCTCTCTATGAGGCACGCAATTCTCGCTGTTGCTATATCCTTCCTCCGTTCACAATACTTGGCAGTGTAAATTTAATTATGTAGTATTTTTATTATGTAGACTTAGAAGAGTTTGTGCTGTGTGTCGCCACAACAAGTTAGGTTGGTGCGCGGATTTTTTTATTATTGAATATCAGAACCACGTATTAATTGTATTTCTCTAATCTGGTGGTGTTTTATATTTATATCTGCATGTCTGTTCATAAGATGGCAACCATAGTGCTCATCACTGCCTCGCAAGCTGCTAATGCCCGGCGCACACGTGAGTTATTTTACTAAAGCAAAATGACGCATGAGTCATTTTACTCACGTGTGCGGCGGATTTTCGTTGAGTAATTTGACTCATGCGTCATTTTACTTGAGTAAAATAACTCACGTGTGCGCCGGGCTTAAAAGATGTAAATTATCTCTGATATCTGAAATAATAACGTCCATAAGCTAGCCATAGACGCTGATACAGACGCAGGTATAGAATGTACTCTAGCGCTCAGCGTGCTTGTGAGAATTCTACGTGCGCACGTGGCCGGATGCATATAGGTCACGTAAGCCAGGTCGCGCGCTCTCTAATTACTAGCTCCAAGAAACGGTATTGCTAGGGTTACAATACCCTAGCAATTGACATTGTATAGACAATCCGTCGCACAGCCTGGTCGGGCTATCTAATTACTTGCTCGCGCCAGCCGAATTGAGTGCATGCGCCCGCACACACACACACACACACACACACACACACACACACACACACACACACACACACACACACACACCACACACACACACACACACACACACACACACACACACACACACACACACACACACACACACACCACACACACACACACACACACACACACACACACACACACACACACACACACACACACACACACCACACACACACACACACACACCGCTAACA